TAATGCCCAGGAGTAAGAGCTGTCTGATCGTCTGTCTTCACAATAGCCACAATTCCACAATTCCATGAGTGGTATTGTATAATCACAGGCACTTGTATAATCACAGGTATAGCCTGCAGCCCCTGCAGTGAGAGTCAGGGCCATAGTGTACTCTGAGAACTGCCTGCTGCCCTCCCTCTGTGGGCTCGGCCTGCATTTTTGGTTTGTTTGTTTGTTTTTGAGACACAGTCTCAACCTCCAATTCTTGGGCTCAAGATATTCTCCTGTATCAGTCTCCAGAGTAGCTTAAACTACAGGCGCCCTCCACAATGCCTGGCTGGGTTTTCTAGTTTTTCTATTTTTAGTAGAGACTGGTCTTGCTCTTGCTCAGGCTGGTCTTGAACTCCTGAGCTCTAGTGATCCTCCTGCTTTGGCTTACCAGAGTCCTAGGATTACAGGCTTCAGGTGCCCCTTCTGAGCAGGGCTGGCAGAGTGAGGTGAGTGGGTGGAAGGGGGAAAGAGAGAGCAGAAGATTAGAGCTGAGGGAGGGACAATGCCAAGATCTAAGACTTAAGGTTTTTATACTGCTGACTTAGAATAATTCTATAGGATTGATAAAGACAGAAATTAGACTGATGTGCAATGAGGAATCTCTGCATGGGAAGAGAGGAAGTTGTGCCAAGGAGCCATTTAAGCCCTGGCTCAGAAGCTGTCAATCTGAAGGACTGTGGGACAAAGTCCTTAAGTGCTCTAGTCTATTTCTTTATCCACAGAATAAAGAAATTGAAGTAAGTGATCTTTAAGCACCATTCTGCCTTAATATTCCATCATTGTGGGACTCTAAATCAAATGTTAAAAAGGAGCAACAGGCTAAGTTAACCTTGATCATCACCATAAAGTAAAGACAATATCTCTCCAATTGTCTTTGCAAGATTGCTCTGCCTTTAACAATGTTCAAGAAATATGGTGTTTTCTTGTATCATATTATGTAAGTTATTTTATTTTATTTTATTTTTTGGTTTTCATTGCATCATTTTTATTGTTTCGTTGTTAGTGGCTATCATCGTTGACTTAAATTCCTAATTTGTTCTTATTGGTTTAAAAAAAAAGTACCATGTTATTTTGAGGCACTAACTAAAAACCAGAATAAGAAATGCAATAACTTTACAAATAGAACTTTTGGCTTTGTTTTTAAAATTAGGTTACTAAAGATTGCTTCTAAAACTTTTTAATAATTTTTTTCTTTAAATTCTAGGTATTGCAATTTCAGATGAGCTCGATAAGGTAAGTTGAACTATATAACTAATGAAAAAAATATGTAGCGCTTATGTGTTAATCCACTGTCAATAGTTCAGAAATTTCCAAAACATAAAAATATTCAAATATGATTTATTTGGTGCCAATATTTATTAATTTATTTTTAGACAGAGTCTCACTCTGTTGCCCTGGGTAGAGTGCCATGACATCACATCACAGGTGACAGCAAAGTTAAATTCTTAGGCTCAAGTGATCCTCTTGCCTCAGCCTCCTGAGAGTGCAAGATGAGAGCTGAGGGAGGGACAATACTAAGATCTAAGACTTAAACTCTTCACATTGCTGATTTAGAATAATTCTGGAGGAATGATAAAGACAGAAATTAGACTGATGTGGTAAGACAGAAATTAGATTCAAGTGATCCTCTTGCCTCAGCCTCTTGAGTAGTTGGAACTACAGGATCCTGCCACAATGACCCCCTGGTTTTTCTATTTTTAGTAGAGATAGTGTCTCACACTTGCTCAGGCTGCTCTGGAACTCCTGAGCTCAAGCGATCCAACCATCTCAGCCTCTCAGAGTGCTAGGATTACATTTATGAACTACCATGCCCAGCCTGGTGACAACATTTTAAAACTTTTAAAATTTTGTGCTTAGATCCTTTTATGAAAGTTATTGCATTAAATGTATGTCACTACTTTTTAAAGTGCCTTTAGAATCTGGGTAGAGGAAACAGAATCATTGTAGTCAATTATTGTACTAAAGAATAAAAACTAATGTTATAGTATGCAAATTATTTGATTCTGTCTTTATTTAAATGATGATGATGATGATGATGATGATATGGAAGACACTTGTGATTTTCTACCGTTTCTGTTTGGAAACCTTACTCAAGAAACATGTTTTGTTTGTTTTAGTATTCCAGTATGGCAAAAGAATATGATGGTGCTCTCTGGACTGGGGTGATAGTAATAAAGGTGGTGAGAAGTGGTCTGATTAGGAATATCGTTTAATGGGAGTGTCAGTGGACCTGGCTACTGGTTGGATGTGGGGAGCTGTAGAAGAAAGACATTAGTCAATGACGATTCCTGAGTTTGGGAGATGAGCAGATAGGACAGCTGCCTTGCCATTTACCAAAATTGAAAAAAACTAACAAACAAGAAAAAAAAAACAAAGGAAAAAGCAAACTTGTCAGGTTGAGATAGTATCAAGAGTTCTCTTTTGGGTTCTTTATTTTGAGTTGTCTATTAAAATGTTTAGATGAGTTACTGCTCCGGGGAGAGACTTGATTCAGAGTTATACATTTAGAAGTCAGTGAGGAAAAAGTTCTCAATATTTTGGTCTCAGAACCACTTTAAACTCCTAAAAATAAGAGCAAACTCAAAAGAGTTTTGATTTATGTAGATTATATCTATTCATATTAGATTCTTTTATTGATATTATGTTGATATTAGATATATAAGTATGTGAGAAATTAAAACTGAGAAAATGTTATGTTTATTCATTTTAAAATAACAGTGATAAAATCATTACATTAGCATAAGTGACACTTTTATAAAAATTATTTTCTAAAACTAAGTATTAGTAAATACATTGTTTTTGATTTTTGAAAATCTCTTTATTGTCTGGTTTTATGGAAACTGCTGCATTTTTATTTCTTCTGCATTCAATCTGTTACAATGTATCGTTTTTGCTGAGAAAATCCTCCAATGTGTAGCTGGAAGGGGAAAAGCACCTGGAAATAGCCATCATCAGTATTTGGTGAACATGGGTCCAGATAGCTTTCTGGACAGAAAAAATACTGAAATTTGGCTTGGTGGCTAGGAACATATCCAGAAAGAAAATTATAGAAAGTATTGTATAGGTAAAATAAGAAATCCCATATCTGAAATTTGGGGGACCAGAAATGGTTTGGATTTCAGATTTCAGATTTTTTTTATTGTGTTCTGGAATATTTTCACATACACAAGGAGATACCTTGGGGATGGGTCCCAAGTATAAGCGTGAAATTAATTTGTATACACCTCATATACATGACCTGAAGGTAATTTTTATTCAATATTTTTAGTAATTTTGTGCATGAAACCATATTTTGACTGGGTTTTGTCTGTGACCTGTCATATGAGGTTGGGTGTGAAACTTTCCACTTACGGCATCATGTTGGTGCTCAAAAAATTCTGGATTTTGGAACATTTTAGATTTCAAATTTTCAGGTAAGGGATATTAACCTGTACAACTAATAGGATCATATGTTAATAAATCCTGACATTACATATTAATAAACTATTATATAATGTATTATTTTTACATAAAGTTAGTATTCTACTGTGAATAGGAATATACTTTTTAGATTTTGTACCATAAAAATGGATTTCTGACTCGCTAAAAAATTAATAAAATTTATCACTATATATTTAAATGTGAATTCTCTTTAATAAACCATCACAATATTTTAAAGTTATTTTAATCTCTCTCTGTGCTATCCATGCAGACCTCCCTGTTGACCTCACAGCAGCAGGTGCTTGAGTGACAGTGTGGTCTCTTGGCTTTGTCCTGCCTTTCTAGTCCTATCTGTGTTTCTTACTGTCTCGCCCCAGCTGGTCGTCTTCTTATGCCATGACCTTCCCTACAATTTGCAGAAGTTTAATAATCCATTTTCTTGTAGTTATGGCCCATGTTCATTTAAAGTACAAAGATATAGTCATCACCATTTCTAGGCTCATTTGCTCCCTCCAGTGTATTCTGCAAAAGCCTGGTTGGCCGAGACGTAAATTAGGTTGTATGGGATCATTACCCTGCTTGGCTCCCGTCCTTTCCTTTTTTTGTGCTCTCACTTGCAGTGGCATTGGTATCCACACACCTTTTTTGGTGAGCTAAAGAACTTGAATTCTTCTTTGAACTGAAGTGCATTTAGCCCTCACTGGATACATGATGGATGCCCTGACACTTGGTTAAATATTATCCTTAGGACACAGCCTCCCCCTTACACCCTATGTCTTTCCAGTGCTAGCTCAGGGGAGTGTCCATTTAACTGAATTACATGACACTGTGATTTTCATTTACTTGCCTATTATTTCTAGGGTTTTTTTTTTTTTTTTGGTCAGAGGTTGTTTGTTTTGAGGTCTTTCTGTTGTCCGGACTAGAGTGTAGTGACATCATCATAGCTCACTGCAACCTCAAGATCCAGGGCTCAAGTTGGCCTCCTCTCTTAGCCTCCTGAATAGCTGGAACTGCCAGGATAAATTTTGTTTTTTTGTTTTTTGGTTTTTTTTGTAGAGGCAGGGTCTCATTTTTGCTCGGGCTGGTCTTGAACTCTTGAGCTCAAGCAGTCCCCCCTCCAGAGAGCTAGCTAGGATTATAGTTGTGAGTAAGCCACTGTATTTGGTCATATTTTGAAGACTTAATGGAAATTGATAAAATTTATTGCATGCTTATTAGTTTTGATTTTTACTGAGGAAGATGCCAGTATATTTTAGAGAAAAAATATATAGCTCAGTGCAAAAAATTGACCTCACTCTCACATCTAATTTTTAAATGTGCCAGAAGAATTACGGGCTTCCCGAGCCATAGCCACCATCCTTTACTTGTCTGGAGAGCACCCTTGGATGAGCAGGACAGCCTGTCCCATAGCGCCCTCTGGTGATCACGGAGCTCACAGTTCCGAATTTTCCTTAGTAAGAAAAAGTCTGTCTCAGGCAGCTAGCTACTAAAAAACAGCCAATTAGAATGGTTTACAGTTTGCGTTCGCCTGGTCTTTAACGTAATAATAAAAATAAACATAGCTCTTCCTTTTACTTTGCTCTTAACAATTTTCAGAGTTCACTGAAGATATCTTTTTCTTAACTTTTATAAAAGACAGATGTTTAACTGTCAGATTTGATTCCAGTCATAATTTCATTGAGATGATTTTGTCTATGGCCTTTAAACTTACTTTATGAATTCAGAGAATGGTGATAAGAATTATTATTTCTATTAAATAAATTATAATTTTCTATTAAAAAATTATTGGAATAAAGAAATAAAGCAAAACAGAGAATAACGTTACTGTAAGGCTTTATTTTTATTGTAAGAACTCTATCAATTCCTTATTCATTAGTCTTTTCCTTTCCCTTCTATAGCCAGGATATTGGTTTTCTCTTGCTGCTGTAAGAAATGAAAACAACACAAAGTTATTATCTTAGGGCACTGTGGTGTAGAAGTTGAGCATCCATCTCCCTGAGACAAATATAATCAAGGTGGCATCTGGGCTGTCCTCCTTCCATTCTAGGGGGAGTCTGTTTTCTTGTCCTTTCCAGTTTCTAGAGGCTTCTACCCTGCATTCCTTACTTAGTACATGGGGTCCTTGTCACATTTTTAAAACCAACAGTGTCTTATCTCCCTCTAACTTTAGTCAGGAATGGCTCTCTCTTATTATGGAATTCCATTAAATTGGGGCCACCTGGCTTAATCTAAATAATTTCTTCATCTCAAGATCTTTAGCCTTAATTACAAAAAGCCCTTTTTCTCATGTAAGGTAAACATAGTCACTGGTTTTGGAGATAAATACATGAACATCTTTGGAAAGCCACAGCCACTATCCCAGTTCATATGGGAATACATTTCCTGTGTGGACATAATTCTTTAGGCTCCTGTGATTGCAACTCATCTTCAAAAGGCCACATAGTAGATATGGTTGGCGCCTGCCCAGCTTCCCTTGGCCAGCTTCTCTTTTTTTCCTTTCTCTTCTCAACTGCTGTGAGAGCTAGGCACCTGTGAGCTCACCCTTTTCCTGAGGTAAACCATCCTAACCACAGGTGCCAGGGTTCATTCTCAGCCAAAGACTGATTGAAATAAGACTCCAGGATGTCAGATGTCATTCACCTTCCAGAGTTCTTGATGGGAGTGGGCTATGAGTAGCGTTAAGCTGAAGTCCTGGCTTTGCCCAGCTTCTCCTAGCTCTCTTATTCTTTTATAGGCTTCACTTGAGAGAACCCCTCAATAGATCACTTTCTCAGCCTCTGGTTCTAGGAAGACCTACTTAAGACATGCCACCA